ACTGTACAGAGGGACCGCTGCCTTTCCAGGAGCGGTTTCCCAGCAGAGCACCGGAGCTGCTGCTCTGATTGCAAGGGAGAAATGTTGTTCTTGTCCAGCCCGATTGCTTCTCAGCTGCGGGGGTGAATGTTCCCGGGCATCAGGATTAATCACAGCCGTTTCTAACTTACATGAACTGATGTGACACTGGCAGGCCCCATGGAGATCCTTCAGGCCTTCAAAGGCACTTTCTTCCTGTTGGTGCTCTGGATTTGAAAAATTCAGTGCTTTATTGACCAGTATTTAGGGCAAGATCTGCAAGGCCTTTGTTTTAGAGGGAACTCTCAACTTTGAATGGTGTTTAAWAGGTATTGAGAGAGCTAGGGGCTCTTGATTTGGCCCGTAGCAGTTAGTTGTCAAAGGAAAAWGACATAAAGGGGCCTTTGTATCGAGATCTGTTTGTATAATTACGTTAATTTATATAAACTGAACATTTTCTTTTGTTAGCCCGTGATAGGAAGCTGACTTAACCAGCCCCATAACAAAAACGTGGTCTCTTACCGGGCCATTAATTACAGCAAGTCCTGACTCTGTCACTTCTCAGGAAAGCATAAAACCTCCCAGTCAATATCTGGAGGGGGAGAAGGGTTAAGAGGAGGGAAGAACTGTACGTCTGAGGTTCCTTCCTTAGTTAATGTTCCYGTGACATGATGCTTCTGCTGTTGATGGATCTGGCTGCATGGGAGTGAAATTAAATCAGAGCACAGGAAGCCTGACCACCACCACAGAGCTGGTAGAGGTTGCCAGAGTCTCTCCCTTTTTTGCTTTCTTTGCTTTGGACACTTAGGGGCCGGTTTTCAGCTGAATGGAGAACATCCTCCGTGCAAGGGAAGCCCAAGGAAGGCCCGAGGAAGAGCTCAGGTTTGGTTCCTGCCTCCACATCACGTCTGCGTGAGAGAGGCATCGCAGCCACGCTGCAAGAGGGCTTTGAGACCTGCTAACAAAGTGGGTATTTAAAGGGGAGATGTTTGTTGTTTCTAAAATAGTGCATTCCTTTGAAACGGCGGGCGCAGCTTCTTGGCACAGGGTGCCCCTGGACGTGAATGCTGCAAACGCTGCGCGCATGGAAGTGCTGCTCTGAACCCCAACCTGCCTTGCCTCTGTTGTTGTTGTTGCTGGTTGTGGTGGACTTTTTTGTTTAGCAGCAATTTTGGCTGTGTTGCCAAAGCTGCGAGCGGGGCCGGGCTGAGCGTGGAAGTGTAATTAAAGTTTGCTTAGACAAAGGCGGCTGGTGACAAGACGCAGTGTTGCTGAATCCACAAGGGGCACAATTAACTGATAAGAGTAAACTAATTGTTATTCATATTAAATTAGGGCACAGGTGATTTGGAAAATCTATAGACACTCCCGCATGCTTTGCAGTTTTGCATTGCAGATTATGGTTTTATAGGGCCCTTTTGGGATTCGGATTACAGAGCCGAAGCGTGGAGCTGTATCTAAACTGAACATAGTCTTTCCTGATTAACTACATGATAAAAACATAAATGTGCAGATCAGAGGATTTATCACTGTGTTTGCATATTAATTTTTCTTTTCCAGGCCTGCTCACAGCAGTTGCTTTATTTTTATACACATAGATCCAAGTGATTCTGCTTAGTGGCAGCTGGGTGAACCCAGGCAGGSTGACGTGATTCCAGCCTTGTCACATAATAGCAGCGAGACAGAGGTTAATAGCAGGAGCRGGGCACACGGCAGGGCCGTGGCAGCCACAGGAGACACCGAGGTATTTGCTRCTGTATTGCAATGGTCCGTGTGCATTTGCAAGGAAGAGGCAGCAGGGTCCTGCTCGTGCTGGCAGGACGGGGTGAGGCTGCAAAGMGGGTTCAGGCTCTGTTGTTTAAAACAGCCCCAAAACATATTTATAAGCAGGACATGGGGAGGAGTCCAAATTGCTYGTGTGACATGTGGGGTTTCTGAGCCCTAGAAGCAAAGAGGCTGCGACTTGTTGTGTCATCTGGTGGTGCCCATTTGGGGCTGTCTCTTTTGATACTCCGGGAAGCGCAGTGATAACTGCAGCAGTGCGTGCATTTTGCCACTCGCTCTCCTCTCTTCTGGTCTCAAGCTGCGATGCCCAGAGCCAAGGCAAGGGTTTGTGACCTGCGTGCGTCAGCGGGCTGGGGGTTTAGAAGCAGAGTCTAATTAGAGATCGGCTGGAGGGAGCTGGGTCACTGTTTACCTTTGTTTGCTAGGAGGGTGCTTCCCAATGAATTAAAATCCCTCGGAGGACGGTTTGGACGTATGTGATTTAGCACAGTCTGGGATGCGCTAGTCTCTGAACAATCTCTGCCTTGGATTCCAGCCAAGATAACGACTCGGGAAGAGCCGTGGCTGGACAAGGAGTCCAAGGGTTATTGTATCTCTCCTGCCGACTCCCAGCAACGTGCTAAACCTCTTAGGCTTTTCTCTCGGTTAGGCTACCAGCAACGAGTCCTCAGCCATGAAGAGTTAGACTCAAATGCCAGGAAGCTTCTCCCAGGCTGGTAGGAAGCTCCATGCCACCTGTGGCTCTTCTTTCCCCGTCTCTGGACTTATGCAGGCTCTGTTTTGCTCTCAGCAGTGACAGAGGGGTCTTGCATGAGGCTGCGGGTCCTGCAATCCCAGTGGGAAAATCGCTGGCTAGTCCCTTATTTGCTGATCCACAGGGGAGAGCACCACCTGCTGATGCATCCCTGCGGCGTTTCCCTGGTCCCTGKGCATGGGCTCCGGATCCGTTGGGCSGATATCCCATGGGCAGCCCCAGGGCCAGCCGAACCGGCGCATCTCCAGGCTTCCAGCTCTCCGTGTGTGTGCAGTGGTGCAGCCAGGGCAGGGAGCAGCTCCCTGCCGTGACACGRTGGTCTGTGGGCTCTGCTAAGGCCCTTTTGTGTTCCAGGAGCGGCTCTCTTCCATCAGCTCTCATGGACATTCATCACACAGGGTGGATCAGCCACTGTGATCAGCCACTGTGTCTTCCCAAATCTTCCTAATCTGGGTTTCCTTGTGCTGCCGATGCTGTGCTGATAAACCTTATATAAAGCTAGCCGGAAGCGCAGCATTAATATTTAAAAAATGACATTTAAGGTATTGAACGTACGCTGCCTTCTCCAGAAGAATGTCTGTGTGTGCGTTTGTGTGTGYRTGCACACACTTGGGGCTCTGTTCCGCTTCTACGGTGATTGTTGTGGATGTGTGTTTTACTCGGGGTATTTTGTGCTATAATAAGAAGGGGGAGGGAGCGGGAAAAAACTGCTGTTTGTATATACTGCTGCCAGCAGCCATGCTGCTTGGTTTAGATCCGCATCCTCTGCGATGCACTCCGGATTCCAAGCAAAATGCACCTTTCCCATTATCCTGAGCTCCTCTGGGAGGGCTGCTCGAGCATCTCCTTGCACACGCCCCCTTGCCCTCTCCTGGGTTTTCCTCCTGGGAATGTGGCTCCCAGGACCCATCATGCAAACAGGCCAACGTGCTACGGCCTTGGAAGCGCCAGAGCAGCAAGTCTGCCCTGCTGTTCGGCTGCTCTCCCTGCCCAGGGCATSTCCGGGTGAAACGGGCTGTAGTTTCAAAGTGGGGCTAAAGGCAAGGACGCAGCAATATCCCTGTGTGTATCAGCCTGCCTGTCTTGAGCTTCCTGCACTTCTCCTGCAGCCTTTCCTTTTTGTGAGTCCCCTGCGACACCGGTGCAGACCTGAGCCCAAAACGTTACTGTTTGCCCATAATTCTTAAAAATTGCAGGTGTAACGCATCTCCTTTCCCTGCTCCCTGAGATTTATGTGTTTAGGTTTTGTAGTAGGAGCCTTTTTTACTCCCTTCTCCCTCTTCCCTCTCTCTCTAACCCAACCCCCAGGCACTGCATGGATTTGCCCTTTCTTTTACTTTAAGCCCCAAGGGAGAGTTTGCCAGTGCTCCTCTCCTGCCTGCCATAACAACAGGGAGCCTGGGACTTGCTGGAAAGCACTGGGTCTGAATCCATCCTTTCCATACAAGTGGACATTATGCATTTTTAATAGGCACAGAGCTCACTGAAACCCTTATTACCAGCTGAATTGGCACAAAATTCCCAGGCAAGGAGCTGATCTCTCCCTCGGTACCGTGCAGAAAGTGAGCCCAAGGACAGGAAAGGCCGCCTTTCCTGCGCGAGAGCCCGTTTTGCCAAGGCAGTGGGAGAGCAGAGGCCAGCCCAGCCGTATGGTCCTTGTACAGACTTTTCAGCCCCGCTGAAGGGAAAATCTAACCCGCCACCATGCATGGGCCTTGTTGCTCTGTGGGTGATGGAGAGCAGTACTCGAGGCCCTGCCTACGCCTCGGAGAAACCCACTGAGATGMGCCAGGCCTGCCTAGGCTAAGGCAGCACCAGGGGGTAGGACCCTCGCTTCAAGCTCTGCCTCCCCGTGCGGCTGCTCTGCAGGAAGCCGTAATCCCGCGGGATGCACGGGGGCCTCGGCGTGGGCGGCGGTGCCGAGCGGTGCAGTAGCTCCGTGCCGGATGGCGGGGAAGCCGCGGGAGACCTGCCAGGTGTCACCCGCTGCTTGCAAAGGCCGGGCGGGCTCAGCAGGGCAGCACCCTTCCTCCTCCCAGTGCTTCCCAGCCCCACTTCCCGGGAGAGCCCCTCTCCTCGGCAAGCTCGGCGKGTGACGCTGCAGGGCGAGGAGCGCACGCACCAATTCCCGGAGGGGCCGTGGCGAAGCCTTGCCCACCCTCTCCTCCCGCAGCAGCCGGCAGTGCCCCTGCCTAGGCGGAATAAATTGGTACAGACCATTAGGAGCGCAGGTCCTCCTCTGAGGGGGGAGGGAAGGGGCCGTCAGCGCCGCTCGCTCTGGATACAAAGCGCTCAGCCACACTCCGGCTCCTTCCTCCCGCACCCCGCGGCCTCCTCCTCCTCCCGCCTTCCAGCCTCGCCAGCCTCCCCTYCACGGCGGCGCTGCGGGCAGAGCCGGGCGATGCGTGTGGAGGCAGCAGGGGAGGAAGGAGCTCGCCCGACGCCGCCGTTTCCTTGAGAGCCGAGCGAGGAGGCAGGGGAGCGATGCAGGAGCGCCTTGCTTGCCGCCTGGATTAGGAACCAATACCTAGAGAAAATCCTAACGAACAAGGAAGAAGGGAGGAGAGAGAGAGAGGAGGAGGTTGCCGGGGGGAGCCCGCTCCAGTGGGCGAACATCCGCTTTGAATCGTGCCTCTGTTCCCAGGGATTAGAGCTTGAATGGGAGCAGCTTCCCGGCGGCGATGGAGAGCGGAGGCAGCGGGCGCTGTGGGCACAAGGTAACTCGTGCTTCTGGCAGACATTGCGAGCAGGACAGAGCTCCTTTATGCYCGGGGCTGGCGGTGCACGCGGGTGTGCGCGCGCGGGCGGCAGGCCGGCGGCCAGGGGAGGCAGAGAGGCGGTTTTCCTACCCCTCCCACTGCATTTTCAGGATGCAGACCTGGGATGCGGGTCCTGGGGGCTGGAGATGGATTCGCCTCCCTTCCTCGGGTTGCAGGGGCCAAGGCTGGGTGGGCTGAGGGGGGAATATGCGCCCGTGCTGCCCGTGCTCCAGGCTTTGCCTCCAGCCCTGCAGCTGCTCCGGGCTCCCCTCCCGGGCTTGCTGCAGCTCGTGGGGATGGTCCGTGGTGCCACAATGGCCCGGCGCCCTTCCAGCCTGCTGCTGCATCCAGGAGTGACAGGAGGGAGACGGTCGAGTGGCTTGGCTCTTCCCTTGTCGTCCTCTTGCTTTTCCTCTCGGCAGAAAGGGGTGCGATTTAGGAGGAGGCAGAACTGAAATGCCTTTCATTCATGCCAGCCAACTTTGAGGCTACTTAAGGCGAGAAGCTTTCTGAGTGCTGTCTTTTGGAGGATGGCTGGGGGATGCCTCGCYGTCCAGGGAGTCATCTCTGTGTCATGCTATGTCGTGGGAGTGGGTGGGGATGAAAAATAAAGATTATGGGGGAGAAAGTCCCTGGTGATCAATAAATCTGTCTTTAAATGATGCTTTCCTCCTCCCTGCTGGGCCTCTCTCTGACTCACTTCGTGGGGGTCTGACCCCRAAAGTGCTAATTCTTCTCAGCCAGACCAGCCTAGTAAAGCACAACTTTACTGGGAGGTGGACCTGCTGTTAACCTATGGAGCCCATATCCACCTAATTCCCAAAAGTCTACGTCTTGAGYAGGGGTCCCTCCTTGTCTCACTCAGGATCTTGCTGCTGCAATATTCATTTGCTGCATGCCGTCCCTCAGATACCTCCCCTCCCAGTGTTTCCTTAATGGATCTCCAGTTTGGTGTGGGGTTGGGAAGCGTTTGCTTTGGTTGCTTAGGCAGTGACGTGTTGCAGAAGTCCCCACTTATGTGCACACAGTGCAGAAAGTCATGAGCCCCAATGTGCTGTCAACTGACGTAAAAGAGCTTGTGCACCCATCTAAGGAGCTTCTGGCCCGGTGCTTGTTGTGGCCTCAGGCTGATGAATAGGGTAGATCTGTACGTACTTGTCTGAATCATAACTGTCCCCAAACCCCTACAGCGAGTGTGGCCAACTTGCCTCAATGTGTCAGCCTGTGTCCGGGTGTGTGTGGAAGAAGGGCTGTGTAAATGCACAGGGGAGATCTACATGGTTGTGTGCCGGCAGCCCTTCRTTCCTTGGGTAATCCTTGCTCAGAAAAGGAAATTCTAAGTTGGAAAGATGAATCTTGCTTGCCTGGTAGGTGCAATTCAGCACTTGTTTGTGCGCAGCTCTCTGGTATGAACCAACAGCCCAAGAGCCAGCCGAAAGATTACAGAGGTTCAGATTGCATGGGGAACTGGTAGGATAGGGATGCAGAGACGTGGGAAAATGGAGGCACTGGGGAAAAGCATGAAATTCTTCCTGGATATAGCACCCAACTGTGTTTTCCATGTCAACTTAAAGCACTGAGGAAGATGGAAGATGTTCTGGAGAGGGGCTGACCAGTAATTGTGGCTTCCTAGCTGGATATGTATGGGGT